TTCAACTTACCACTTCAGGCCAGAACATAGTTTTAGAATCATGTCTGAATGCTAATGAGGGAGAGCGGTATTTAACTGCGAAGATCTACTGTCTTAGAGAGAGAGAGATACCAGATATTCTGGCTGCACGCGTCCTCCTTTTTAGGCTACTCTCTCGTAAGCTATTATTACGCTCGGCCGTACTTTAGGCCCTTGATAGCTTCGCAGTCAATTAGCGTTAAGGGGTCAACTCTGTTAGAATTTTGATAGCTTCGGCTATATCTTTTTAGTTAAAATTAATTTAGTATTATTCTTAGTCTCTTAAGTTGAAGCCCGAGTGTCGGCTTTATTGTACAACTTCAAGACGGAGTTCTGTTAAATCTTATTTGAATAATAAAGGGTTTTTTAACCCTTTCCAAGTTTATTTACTGTCTCACGAACTCAAGCGATTATTCGCTTACTAGTTCTTAAGATTCTTCACATCCAACTGTAACTTAGACTTGCACAATGAAGGAATCCTACAATATCATTAATAACATTTTAAAAAAGATTTTTAAAACATCCATTAATTTTTTTTTCTCTCAGTTTCACAATTTTATGTAAATGAAGACCAAATTCATGCATTAAAAAAAAGATTTAAAAAAATCTATTAAAATTTTCTTTTTTACACAATTTATGTAAATTATTAAATTTTTAATTTTAATTAATTTTAACTATTAAATTTTTACACAATTTTAGGTAAATGAATTAAAAAGTAAAAAATAATTTTTTAGCTATCTTATATTCTTGATCATATGTATCTAAAAACAAATTCGTAAGACTGCTCATAAAGACGATATGAGCTTTTTAATCAAATTTATCGAATTTAAATGAGTATTTTAATTTTTACATAAGATATTATTTTTGCGTTGCCATTATTATTGTTTCTTGACATTTTATTAATGCCATCGGTATGCGTATTCATTGTATAGTTTTTATTTTTAGTTATATATGAATCTGATCTTGATTAGTATAGTTTTTTTTCAAGTAGCTTGATAATATTTAATATTAAATAAGATTGCGGAGGTCAAAATACTAATCGGAAATCGGAAAGCTAAATTATTTCTGTGAATCTCAACGGACTATTGGATCCTCTCATGTGTAAACAGTAATATCTGTATCTGAATCTAAAATAAATACTGAACTGTAGATAGAAAATTCCTATCCAGCTTAAATTAATAATGTCTAGTTTACTTCTCATTCTGAATTTTTCTTTCTGAATCCGGAAGAAACAATAATCTCACTATTTCTTCTTCAAGGAAATAAACTGTGATAAGCCAGATATGTGGAAAGCAATTTACTGTGCCATATGTAGCTGATAAATCATTTCACTCTTTTGCTTCTCGCTCTAAGAATCTGATATTGATTGCTATCAAAAAAAGTCGAAAACATTCTCTGTGTGTGGCGCCTCTCATATATCGTAATACCCTTTTGATGCGCCAACTAGGATCAGATGGACTATTTATTAAAACAGCTTCTATCTGTAATAAAATTCAGTAATGTAGTTCTTGTTTCCTGTCGTTGTATGCACATTTGAACCGCATCTATTTTTCACTTTTTCCAAAATATTTTTCTCGTGTGTTTAAGATCTGTATTATACTATTTAACTAAAGCGAGCATAGAAGACTTTGAAAAGGCAGCACAATTTTAATTTTTTAATACAAAATTAAAAAAAAAAAAAAAAACATGGCATCAAGCGCTGTAGTTTTCATCACCCCAGTTTCCTTGTGCTGGCGAAATAGAATATTTTGTTAGACTCCTGAACAAAGCGATTCGATGAAAAAATGCACTCTTGAACAGGGTGCCTCCTCCCCCAAAAAATAGCCGGATTGCAAGCGAGCATTTCTTAATACGGATCATGCCATTAGGACTAGTTAGCTAATAGGAATTTCTGAGTGCGTATGCCAAGAGACATCAATCTTAGAGGTTTCTCCTTAGTCCTCACTGTTATTCTTGCATCCTACCATTTTTGTGATGTGCCACCACACGCGCACATACATACATACACAAAAGATGGGATATATATATATATATTTAGTCCAAAGGGATTTCAGTCCCGAAGGACTATTGCTTTCGTTTTGGCATTTTGCGTCGAACTCATAAACGTCGGTTCACTTTTCAAACTGTTGCCACAAAATGTTAGAGTCCTGCATTATATTTGAAGAAATTAAATAATGAAAAATCTGCATAAATGATTGTCTATTTCTCGCATTGTGATAAAACAATGGTACATAGAGCCATCGAATTTTGAATGACGAAATCCTACTGCGAATATGGGCATCTGAAATCCCAAATTTGGAATTTGTTTTATTATAGATTTTATATTTTGTAAAACGTTAACGAATTTTTGATTTACAAACTCAATGCTTTAAAAGCGAGAAATGGCAACGTTATATAGAAAAAAAAAATACTTTTATCTCCAGCTCGCGAGACTGTGTATATCGGAAATTCTAAAGATATGCTTAATTAACATTATTTTGCGATATTGCTCTTGAACTGAATTTTATGGTTTAAGTGCAAAGAACATGATATTTAATAAATAAAGGTAACACTGAAAACGTTAAAAAAACGCCCCTTTAGACGTAATTTAAAATCTGAACAATTTCAGTTTTTTTTTTTTTTTTTTTTTTTTAATTTAAAATTTTTTTCTATTCGTAATAAAGCTAATTTTAATTTTTAAATTTTAAATTATGAAAATTGAATCGTATAAATTAAAAGATTATAATTGCTGCGGACTAATTTACAATATCATTTAAATTCAGAGAGCATATGTAAATTAATTGCAAGTATCTATAACCATGAAAAAATATTTAATAATCCAAAATTAATCCTAAAAATTTTTAAGAATTTTTAAGACTAAATTAATTTGCATAAAGTGAATAATTGTTGAACAGGCAGGAGACAGATCTTTTCAAGGGGAAGTTGCCTCCAAACTTAACTCTTCAATTACTCAATTCGAGTTTCGTCATCCATATAGGCATAGGTATAATAATATATAAAACCAAAAGTAAAACCAAATGTAGTGAATTAGTAATATGATTTAATTAATAATTTCTTTTAATTAGTATTTTTGCTTCCTGGTCTTTTGCTTACTAAATTTCTCGAAATTCTTTAATAATTAATTTTTTTTAAAGCAATTCACTACATTTGGTTTTACTTTCAGTTTTGAATTTTACTATACCCAAAGTAGTCCGTCCAACACCTAAATCCAAGGTAATTTTGTTTAGACTTTCCTTTTTGTCCAGTCTAGTTCTATTTCCATTGTCACCTTAGTTTGCTTTCTTTTCTTTCCGAACGACATTTTCACTTCACAGAATATCAAAAGTTCCCAAAAATATGTAATGCCTGGATGTGAACTGAGGAACCTGCAATGAACTGGTGTGAGTTTAGTTTGCAGGCCAGCTGCTACCCGACTTTCTTTCGTATCCGCGAAAGAAGCAAACTGCGTTGCCATACAACATATTTTAAAATTTGTTTGACAATTCCAAGATTTAATGACACAATGCGAAAACGGCAAAAATTACAGAAAAAGAACACTCAAATCATAGAACAGAACAGGAAATACATACGCATATAATAATTATATGTACTTGCATGTAATATTTGCTCTGTTTGGCCTAGAGATAACTTAAAAATGTTCTTAAAAAATTGTCGAGTTGTACGGAATATCGAATGATAGTATTTTGAGTTGATTAAAATATTTTCCCACTCTTCGTGTTTTCAATTATACCCCATTGTAAGAAAATCCAGCGATAATCATAAACCCCTTTGAAACTTTCTTTGGATTGACGGAACTAGGTTTGTACATTTTTTCTCTTCGGTTTCGATGATAAATAGAGCTCTTTTTATTACAGTCATTTAGGAAAATCACATTTCATCAAAGGTCAATATGTGTTTCCATTTTTCTCCTGCTAAGTAGTTTTCATACATGGTTGTAGAAATTATTCTGCTCTGAGCCACATACTTCGGCAAAAGTTGATGAACATTATATTTTTTAACATTTTTAAGTTGTAAATCTTGGTTTAGTATTTTATTTATTGTTGCTGTAGATGTATTTAAAGACTTTGCAATTGATTTCTGCATCCGCGGAGTTTCGTTTGTAGCCGACGATGTAACTTTAGAAACATTAATAACACTATATGCTTTTTCTGGTATTCCTTTGGAGTCTCCTTTCAATGTATATGTAATGATAGACGATTTTTGCCTTTCCGATTAATAATGCTGATTAGTTTCCAGATAGAAATTTTAATACCATGCATTCCAGAACTTTTTTGAATTATGGAATATTTTGATAGGAATGTTTCTCTTCGGAAAGCGCAAAAACATATCCATCAATCCACAGCTTGTTTACATGTGACATGACGAAATAAAAATAAATTTAAAAGTAGCAGACGTATTTATCATTTTACATAATTAGCTGTTGTTAGAAATTATTATTCCAAAGCATTTGTTTTTACAATATATATATATTTATCGAAATCGTTCTAAAAGTGTGTAAACACCTTCAGTACCTCTTATAAAGTTTTTCTTTTAGTTAATAAGTCATCACAAAACATTCATTTATGAGACAGTAACATAACGTATCTGAATATGAAGCTAAGATTCCAACTTTTTATAATTTTTTAATATTAAAAAGATTTTTGTTTTGAAATTTTAATGGTAAATTTGTTTCTGATATGTTAGATTGTAATTTGAAATTTTCAGAGAGCAATTTTTTATTTATTTGAAACGCATGTATTTTTGTTGACTGCGAATCACAGATCCAAACATCTAAAATAAACATTTCAATCTAAGATAAACAATTAGCATTGCCTTTTACTGCCAGATCTTGCCTTTTATATTGATCATTATGAACTCTCTCTGTTCATTTATCAGAATGATTCAGAACTATGTAGTGCATATTGTCTAATATATCTATCTGTATGGGAAGAGCACCTAGCTTCGAAACCTTAATTATGTCTAATAACATGTTTCTATTTCAGGGGCACCTCAACATGTGTAAATTTGATGCCATTCCTTGTACCAATCATTGCGGGGCTATGATTCCCAGGCTGCTAATGGAAGATCATTTGCTCTACACCTGCCCAAAACGAAGAACACGCTGTGAATACTGTGCCAGAGATTTTACAGGTGAAACTTTAGAGGTGAGTCTTGCTCAGATCGAATTTTGCCCTTCAGCAATTCAAGGGGGAAAGGAATATAGAGAATCTTAAAAGACTTTTACTCTATGACTAGCAGCTTCGTTGCCAGCCTTCGTCTGGCTTTTAAATGTACCGGGAAAAATGGCTGAAGGAAACACCAAACATTAAATTTAAAAACTGCGTAGAATTTTACTCTGCAGAACAACTTCATAAAAAAAAAGTTATTACGTATAACAAAATTACAATGAAATAAGCAATATTCCTTAATACAAGTATTAATTATACTAATAAATAAATTAACCAACTTCCGTGTGCAAAATCTTAAGAACTCAAATGGTATAAAGGAGGTTAAGAATTTTGTTTCCTAAAAAAATCACTCAAAACTTTTCAGTATCTTAGAAATGAGCAATCAATAACATAAAAGAATACAAAAAACAAAAAATTCTGAAAAACAAAGTATAACTAATGATATTTTATCTTATAATTTCAAGAGAAAAAATTACAATGAAATAAGCTATATCCCTTAATACAAATATTAATTATCCTAATAAAAAAATTAACCAACTTTCCGTTGAAGAAAAAAAAATCATGCAAAACTTTTCAATATCTTACAAACAGTGAAATAAGCAAAAAATAACATGAAAGCAACTCAAAAAACATAAAATTCCGCGCAGGATTTTACTCTACAGAACAACTTTATCAAAGAAAATCAATAAAAATTTATTATATGTATATAAAAATGACAATGAAATATGCCAATCTCTTAAACAGTGACATAAGAAATAGGATGAAAAATTGTTGCCAAGCCCATATTTCTAAAACAATGAAACTATTCAAAATGATGTGATTTCATCAAAAATCTATCAACAACAATAAGGCAGGAAAATTGTTGCCAAAATCACATTTTTAAAGATGGGAAATTGGAAAAGTGTACTCGGAAGCTTCATTTAAAATTTTTTTAAAAATACAAAATATTATCATTTTTCCAAAATTCTTCTGTAAAAGCAGTCGCAAGGATGAAAGTTTAACGTGTCCAAAAATCAAAGAAAAATAAACGTTTTCAGAAAAAATTCTGTTGAAAAGGTGAAGCTCCCTTTGTTAAATAAATTCGTATTTAATCGATTTATTGAAACACAAAATTTATTTTAAGTTCGTAAAATAGCTAAGTGCCTACGTTTCATGATGATGTGAAAACGGAGTGTGTAGAGTAAAATCTCGCTTTCCTATAGCGCATTATGTCTCAAAATGACGCAATTTCGTCACAAAACATAAAATAAAAAAAACTTCTAATTCATATTTCGAAAAACTGCTTCGAGGTGCACTGGCTCTTGTCTAGATGCACCAATGTACCAAATTTTGTAGCCGTGGGTCTATTAGCTTACGCGCAGCGCGAACGAAAGACACACACACACAGACAGACTCTCTCTTTTATTATATGTAGAGATCACAAATTTTAATGTATTAAAAATGCAAATATCTGGCCTTGTTAATCTTTTCTTTAAACTAATCGGTAAATAATTAGCCATATCTAGAGCATATAAAGGAAATAAAGTTTTTAGAAAGGGAAATTTTAAGTTTCTGCATTACAATTACTCGCAGTATTCTCTAAATTTAACTGAAATGATCTGTGATATTTCTATGACCGATTATTAAAAAAGAAAGTATCCTGTTTAAACTTCTGTGCTTATAGTTAGAAAATTTTGCTGAATTCCTACAGCTTCTAGTTTTGTTTCACTTTTCTGGATGTTAGTTTTAGAAGTCTTTACCATGTTTTCGTTGTTCCCATGATAAAGCTGGCAAACATGTAGTTTGTCATGGTTTTAGTCTTTTTGGGGGGTTATCTTGAAATAATTTCATCGTATTTCCTGCTTGTGAATTTCTTATGAATTTTCACCTGGTTGTGAGAAATCTCTTTTTCTGCAAGAATTGCTATAAAGCCTTTTTATTAAGTAATTTCACAGAGTATTTTGAATCGCTACTTTAAGACACTGCAAATGATCTAACAAGAAATAAGTATTTACTCCTCGCCGTTTCATATCGGATATGAATCTCCAGCCTGGCATCCTCTGTTATACGCAATGATCAGGATTGAAACAAGCAGCTTTTGGTTATTGTGCTCATATTTCTAGCATATGCTGTAGAACCTCGGATCACGAACAAAGTATCTGAATAAAAAGCGCCTGGAATGATGCGCGTGTGTCCAGTTACGAACGCTCAAACCGCCAAATTTTCAGTGACGTTTTGAGATAACCTGTGTTACAGAATTAAACCTCAAGGGTTTCCTGCAACATCATTTTAATAAATAATTTTTGTTGCTTAACTGTCCATTAACAAAATGTGGCATTAAGTGACTTACAGGACCATGAATTGGGCTTGGAAGAAATTACGGTCAGATTGTATTGCAGGCACAGACTTTTAAAGGAATTGCGATGTTTTAAACACTTGAGACGACGTTTTTAGTTATCTACAATACTGTTATAGTATTTACAAAACTAGGCTTGTCTCAGAAGTTAACAATGAACAAACAGGTGAAGGAGTTATTAGACAACCGCAAAAATGAGCTCACCAAAAAAGAACTGGAATAATTCCAGAGGCAACAACAAGACGATTGTGATGTAGAGTCATTAAGGGTCTCTTAAAGCAGGGGATGTGCAAGGTCCTCGCCGGTTCTCGAACCTTGGACCTGTCGATTATGCTTCCAATTACACCACAAAGGCATGCGGAAAGGAGGGGGAATATACCTTAAAGGGGGAAGGAGGTTTTCGAGCGGAAAAAGGGAGGGTGGTCGTGGTGTGGTGTATTTAATTATGGCAAAGCACACTAGGGCTATCTGCCTAAGAGGAGGGATGCCTTCGTGGAGGACTTTCTAAGGGAAACTGGCTCGTATACACGTTACACATGGGGAAAACCACGAAAACGCCCATGCAGCTAGCCCGTTCGCGGGATTCGAACCTCTGGAAAAAGGGAGGGAGAAAAGACGATCTTAGTTCTTCGACCTGCGAAATTATTGCGAAAGGATGCAAGAATCAAAGGTTTGTTAATTGATATCACCCAAGCTACAGCATACACATTTTCAATAAAAATACCTTGTCTCTCTTTAGAAGCATTTTAGAACGTACGCAACAACAGATCACATGGGAGAAATTTTTAGTGAAACGAATGAGTAGTGAATCTTATTCAGAATCAAATAGAACCAAACGAGAAAGAAAAGATAACAGATGCTTTTATGCAAGGGAACTCCTCATCCAAACCATAACGTCTCATCTTCATTTTTACACTATGCGGTTCACTCTCGTTCGCGCAGGTATGGTAAAATTAAATCAAATTTTCCTCTTTTTTGCCTACTTAATTTTGTGTTTATTGTTTCAACTTAGATGTAATGCATCCATTGGTTTTATATTATGAACTTGTGCGCAAAATACAGTTAACTCGGAACCTTTGATAATGGCTCATATTATTAGTTCTAATATCGGAATGGCGGTGGCGCCATCTTTTGATTTAAGTGGGAAGCTTTGATTTTCTGGGAACCGTTCAGTTTGCGCTGAGCTCTAAACCGTGACTATATTAAAGCACTTGTGTTCATGTGCGAAAAAGAAAGATCGCTACAGAGCTCTTAATGCGTAATATGTAACAAATGGCATTAGAAACATTTATTATTATTTGCAATAATTCCACGAATATTTACAAAAATATAAAATGGATATATATTTTATTTTAAAAGTAATTTTTAATTATATCAATTAGATATGTCGTTTAACAGTAAAATAAAGATTTAAGGTATTAAAAAAATGCGTTTCTTTCTTTAAATCGCCTAGTCTGTTGAGCAATGCAGAAAGATAAATTAAAGATTGTATGTCATATGGAAAGGCAGTTTTCTGAAAACTCGCTATTTGTTAGGCCATATGGAAGATAAATTTGAAAATCTCTCATTTTATGCAATATCGCGGCTTGCGAAATCGTATGAAAGATAAATACATGGTAGAGTAACGCAAAGGCCCAAACATTTGGAAATATTCCTCTGAGGACGTTTCAAATGTCAAAAAGCGGTAAAAAAATTATTATGTAATAAACATTTTGTTTTTAAAATTTCTCAAGTATGCCGTTTTGCCTTGTAACTGACTAGTTTGTTTGTCGCAGTGTTCAACCAATCTTCTCCGCTTCAAATTATTACTGCGTGCTGGATCTTCTTGATGTTAAATATGCGGAATTACTCTTTCGATAACATTTAAATCTGTAATAATCGTAGGTAGATGAAACTATAGCTGTCTGAACAATAAACAGTATGTGGATTCTCCGTGCATTCACAGAAAAGCTTTTATAAATGTTAAGAAAAATTGTATGTTACACTTGTTGTTCATTGGACCTTGAATAAACTGCGTTTTACCGTACTTTGTGTTTACAAGTTTCTTCAAAGTTACAAGATCTTTAAAAACAAGAATTTATTTAAAAGGTTCCCCCACCAGTAAAGGATTTCGAATTTTTTCCTTCTGTGTGTGTAACAGATTGCAGCATGTGTTAGAGATGGGATTTCTTCGTTATCTTCTTTGTGCAGACGATTTAGATTCTGCCACAGTAGTATCGGTAATCAATGATCATCGATTTCAACGTAAAGTAGTTTAGAGGAGTGTAATGAGAAGGAAACTATCCATTGAATGCTGCTTCGTTTTTTCTGTTTTTTTATTCTCATTTCTTCAAATATTTTTGAAAGATTCCTTGATAATGAGATACAGCACAATGCAAGGCATATTTCTGGTAATTAGCAATTACTTCAGATAGTTCTCTTCTTCCCATCTCAAATTTGCGATAAATTAATGAGTTTACTAACGAAAGCTTCATTTTTTAGATTTATTTCTACTTCTGAATATAACTTTCCTCATTTTCATAATCTAGACAATTACTTTTTTAAACGTGTTACGTGTGTGTGTATATATATGTTATATATATAAGGTAATTATGAGCAATATAAAAAGGCCAAATACGTTGCGCTAAGGCTGCTAAGTCAT